CTATATTAGTCCCAAAACTCCAATTACATTACTATTTTTGCTACTAGCCCTCTCTTCTTCTTCTTCTTCTTCTTCTTCTTCTTCTTCTTCTTCTTCTTCTTCTTCTTCTTCTTCTTCTTCTTCTTCCTCTTCCTCTTCCTCTTCCTCTTCTTCCTGTGTCAATTTTATTTTGGTGAAATAACAATTGTAGTTTAAATACATGAGCTTAAGGTAAAATTTGAGTTTTTAAAAGTCAGAAAGAACATTTTTTTTAACCAAATTACCTGCAGATACCTCAATATTGGTTTGTGACTTGGACTTTTACTTGTTTTCCCTTTAATTGTTTAACTTTGGAACAATCTTGTTTTACATGTCAATCTTACTTCTGTCTCCCTCCCCTCCTCTGCTGCCTCCACCAACTCCCTATCCCATCCCCTTTCTGCTCTACAAGGAGGATGAGTCTATCCATGGGGAGATCATCAAAGCCTGTCACATCATTTGTGGCAGGGCTGAGGAGCTCCACCTTCTGTATAGGCTCCCAAAAGGCATTCATACAGTATGGATAAACAGTGATCCACTACCAGAGGCCCCATAGACTTCCCAGGCCTCCTAACTGACACCTTCATTCAGGCTCAGGCATTGGGGGTTGGTCCTATGCTGGTTTCCCAGCCATGAGTCTGGGTTCCATGAGCTCTTCCTTGTTCATGTCACCTGATTCTGTGGGTTTCTCCAACCTGGTCCTGACCCTTTTGCTTATCACTCCTCACTCTCTGAAACTGGATTCCAGGAGTTCGGCTCAGTGTTAAATGTGGGTGTCTGCTTCTGTTTCTACCAGCTACTGGATGAAGGCTCTAGCATGGCATATATAGGTAATCATCAATTTGATTATAGGGGAAGGGCCTCTCCACTATTGCTGAGATTCTTATTTGGAGTCATCACTGTAAATCTCTGAACATTTCCCTACAGCCACATTACTCTTTAAACCTACAATGGCTCACTCTATTATGGAATCTTTTTTCTGGATCTCTGCTGTTTTTCCCCTGACTCAACCTTCCTGCTCTCTAATGTCCTCCTCTACCATCCTCTTCTCTCCTTCTCTGTCTACTAACTCCCTCTCCCCTTGACCCATGCTCCCAATTTGCTCAGGAGATCTTATCCCTTTTCTCTTCTGTGGGGAACCATGTGTGTCTTAGGGTCCTCCTTGTTTCCTAGCTATGCTGGCTGTGTGGATTGTAGGCTGGTAATCCTTTGCTCTATGTCTAATATCCATATATGAGTGAGTAGGTACCGTTTTGTTTTTGTCTTTTTGTGACTGGGATACATCACTCATGATGTTTTCTTCTGATTCCATCTGTTTTCTTGCCAATTTCAAGATTCCATTGTTTTTTTTTTCTGCTGAGTAATATGCCATTTTGTTAATTTACCACATTTTCTCCATCTATTCTTCAGTTGAGGGGCATCTAGTTTGCTTTCAGTTTCTGGGTATTACAAATAATGCTACTGTGAACATATTTGAAAATATGTCCTTCTTGTATGAATGTGCATCATTTGGGTATATGCCTAGGAGTGGAATTGCTGGATCTTGAGCTAGAATGATTCCTGTATTCCTGAGGAACTACCGTACTGATTTGCAAAGTGGCTGATTTCTTTCCCAGCCCATTTATCATCTGTGTATAGTAGTGCCACTAATTTTTTTGAGTAAATATTGTATCCTTCCACTTTGCTGAAGGTGTTTATCAGCTGTCAGAGTTCCCTTGTGGAGTTTTTCAGGTCACTTATATAAACAATCGTATTGTCTGCAAATAGTGAAAGCTTGACTTCTTCCTTTCCAATTTGTATCCCCTGAATTTCCTTTTGTTGTCTTAATGCTCTAGCTAGAACTTCAAGGACAACATTAAAGAGATATGGAGAGGGGATAGCCGTGTCTTGTTCCTGATTTTACTGGACTCACATTGAGTTTCTCTCCATTTAGTTTGATGTTGGTTGTTGGTTTGCTGTATATTGCTTTCATTATGTTTAGGTATGTTCCTGTTATCCCTGATATCTCCAGAACCTTTACTGTGTAGTGGTGCTGGATTTTGACAAAGGCTTTTTCTGCATCTAGTGAGATGATCATGTAATTTTTTTTCTTTTTCACTTTGTTTATACGGTTCAATTCCATTGATTGATTTAGTATGTTGAAACATCCCTGCATCCCTAGGATGAAGACTACTTGATCATGGTGGATGGTCATTCTGATGTGTTCTTAGATTTGATTTGCCAGTATTCTATGGAGTATTTTTGCATCAATGTTCATGGGGGACATTGGTCTGTAGTTTTCTTTCATAGCTGTGTGTTTGTGTGGCTTGGGTAACAAAGTAATTGTAGCCTCATAAAAGAAAGTTTGGTAATGACCCTTCTGCTTCTATTGTGTTGAACACTTTGAGTAGTTTGGCATTAGCTGTTTTTTAGACTTGTGGTAGAATTCTGCACTGAAACCATCTGGCCTTATGCTTTTTTAGTTGGGAAAGTTTTGATGACTGCTTCTATTTCGATAGGGGTTAAAGGTCTATTTAAACTGCTTATCTGAGACTGATTTAATTTTGGTAAGTGATATTTATCCAGAAAATTATCCATTTCCTTTAAATCTTCAAATGTTGTAGATTACAAGTTTTCAAAGTATGACCTGAAGATTTTCTGGATTTCATCAGTGTCCATTGTTATGTTCCCCTTTTCATTTCTGATTTTCTTTATTTCCATGTTCTCCCTCTGCCTTTTGGTTATTTTGCATAAAGGTTTGTCTATCATGGTAATTTTCTTGAAGAACCAACTGTTTGTTACATTGATTCTTTCTATTGTTTTCTTAGTTTCTACTTTATTAGTTTCAGCCCTCAGTTTGATTATTTCCAGGCCTTTCCTCCTCCGAGGTAAGTTTGCTTCTTTTTGTTCTAGATCTTTCAGGTGTTCATTCTCTAGTGCGACTATTTTCCAATTTCTTCATGTGGGCACTTAGTGCCAGAGCTTTCCTCCTAGCACTGCTTTTAAAGTGTCCCATAAGTTTGAGTATGTTGTATTTTCATTCTCATTGAATTCTAGGAAGTCTTTATTTTTCTTTCTTTCTTTCCCAGGAATGGTGCAATTGTGCACTGTCAATTTCCATGAGTTTGTAAGGTTTCTACAGTTTATTATTTTTTTTGAATTCTAACTTTAAACCATGGTGATCTGATAGGATACAGGTAGATTAACCCAATTATTTGTATCTGTTGCTATGTTCATAACTATGTGGTTGATTATAGAGAAGGTTCCATGTGGTGCTGAGAAGAAGGTATATTCTTTTGTTTTTGGATGGAATGTTCTATAGATTTCTGTTAATGCCAACTGTGTCATAACTTCTATTAGTTCCTTTGTTTCTTTGTTGAGTTTCTGTCTGGTGGCATTGTCTAGTGGTGAGAGTGATGTGTTGAAGTCTCTATAAGCATGTGAGTTTTTATGTGTGATTTGAGCTTTAATTTTTTTTTTTACAAATATGGGTGCCTTCGTATTTGGGGCATAGATGTTCAGAATTGACATGTCATCTTGATAGACTTTTTCTGGTGTTCTCCTCACACAAGATGAAGAAGAGGGCACAGGGCAAGTTGGGGGGTGCAAGACTGAGGTGTTCCCAGACCCTGGGTGGTCTGTCCTGCCTTGGAGGGTCTACCACATGCAGGACAGGCCTAGGAAGTTCCAAGTGGGGGTTAGCAGGATCCAGGCCCCAGCAGAGCCCACATTTACCTCAAACAGAGGGTGGGGGATAGGCCAAGACCAAGTTTTGGACAGAGGCTGTGTGGTCTGTCCTGCTGGGGCAGGTCCACAACATTTGAGACAGGCCCAGGAAGTTCCAAGATGGGGTAGGGGGAGGCCAGCCCTGGGCCTCAGCAGAGCCCACACTCACCTCAAGTAGAGGACAAGTGGGGGAGGGGCAAGACTGAGGTGTGGCCAGACTTTAGGTCTTGCTTTACTTTTCTATTGCAATATATTAGTTTACACTTTAAAGATGTGTTCCATCCTAAAGCACATTCTGATTGGTTTAATAATGAGATAAATGGCCTATAGCTGAGAAAGAGAGAATAAGAGGCTTGTGGCAAGAGACAGAGAGGACACTGGGAAGAAGAGAGGCAGAAGTGCCAATGAGATGTGGAAAAAGTCAGTTATATGATCAGAGGAGAGAAAACAAAACCACATGACAGAATGTAGATCAATAAAAGCAGGGTAATTTGAGTTATAAGAGCTAGTTTGGAAAAAGCCTAAACTAAGGCCAAGCTTTCATAATGAATATTAAGTCTCCATGTCATTATATGCTGGATGGTGGTCCAAGAATGTCAGATGAGAAAGCTTCTACACATTTGTGCTATGACTTAGACAACAGAATTACATTAAAAAGTACTTATAGACAAGTATGCTTTTCAAGGAAAAAAGAATAGGAAATCTTATGGACTTTTTGGGAGTGGAATCTTTTTGGTTACTATGTGTATTTAGAGAAATGTCTGCATCATGTCCTGCTCCAATTTGAGATATAATAATTAGATTAACAGTAATATTGGTCTAGAAATGTTGAACTTAATTTATTTCCATTTGTACAGGGGTAACACACTGTATTAAATATGTAAGGTCTTATCTACATGGGTTTGATTACAAAAACTAATAAAGTAAAAAAAATTAGATTATATGCATTTTCCTTTCATGTGTCATTCTCACCAGATTTCAATTCAGTGAAGCTCTTTTTTTGTAACTTGTTTTTGATTTTTGTTTTTCAGGACAATTTTCCCTGTGAAACAGCTTGGTTGTTCTGGAACTTGCTTTGTAGACCTGGCTGGCCTTGAACTTACAGTGATCCACCTGCCTTTGCATTCTGAGTGCTTGCAATAATGTGTGAACTACTGCTGCTCAGCCAATTTCCTTCTTTATAAAATATATTTCCATCAGTATTTACTTGTAATGACACAAAGCTAACATTAGATACCAACTTGACACATTTCTCTGGTGATAAAACTCTGTGGTACCTTATCCATCCTTGGCTGCCTTCCAATCTTCTGGAGCTATGGAGCTATATTGTTTGAAGATTTGACCATTGTTGACATCTCTTCTCTTTGGTGAGACAGATAAATGGTAGTGTATATTTCTGTGCCAGTCAACAAAGGTGAGCAGTTCTTTCCTCTGGAGAGTAATCATTTGTAACTAAGAAGGTTCAGGATATGGTCTTCAGTCTTGCTTATTCCAATTCCTAGTTAAATAAAAACCAGGAGAAAGTACCTGGAAGTGATGTTTATAAAAGTGTGCCACACAAATATTGATGCTTAGATTCTTATCATTCTCATTCTAGTCAAAATTCTTCCTCTCACATTATTCTTAATAGCTTATGAGGTGCTCTGCTGCTCCAAGTAGAGCAGACTTGACTGCAACTCTGGATTTGCCTTACTTTCTAGATTTCAAAATGCCATTGTGCATTATGACACAAATAGAAGTAGGCCAAAGATAAATTATTGATTTTACATTTTTAAGAATGAAAGGGAAAACTTCCCAAATCTTTCTGCATTATAGATTAAAAAGAAAATCTTTAATTTACATAGTCTGAAGAATAAATATGTACTATAGATTTATTTTAATAATTCCTAATGTATATCATTCAGGTTATGGGTATAACAGACATTAAGTTTTGTCATTGTTCTTAAAAGGACATATATTTTCAACACCTTTTATATTATTTCATGTGGTTCAGTTCTTTAAAACAGTCATTCTATTAAGAGACTCTAAGAAATAATAGCAGAAACACTAATAGCCATGTAAGAAAACTTAAATAAGAAAAATTATCAATCTATTCAAAAGAATAAACAAATATACTTCATCCTTTCATCAAGTTAAATGGGCACAGAAATGATTTTTCTCTTCATGCAACAATTTATTGGTTGAAAAGATATATCTGTTCAGAGACTGAGAGTTATTATTTATATATTTTTACTTCTACTTATGTTTGTTATTTTTTTTGCTGGAAGTAAAGAGTGAGAAACAGCCTAAGTTTATAGAGTTCCTGTGTGATCTTTCATGAGGCAGTTATTTTAACTTCAAGTCATAATTTAACCCCATACCTATTGTGCTTAGGTAAGAAGATATTTGTAAAGCATCCAAGTCTTGAATATAATTGATAGAAAATGGTCATTGTTTTATGCTTTTAAAAAATTCAATTAGTTGTTTTATGTTCTCATAACAGATTCAGAGTCCACACATCTTATTTGATCCACTCTCATTATAAAGAAAAAAGTACACATTTAGGGATAGTCTATATAAAATGAGAACCAGGTTGCTAGCTTAGTATATCCTTCCTCAGCACTCTTCACAGTCTCCATAACACTTTTGTAGACAAGAATTTAAACAGAAAAAGTTGTAACTGATTTATCTGAGATCAAACAGGTAGATAGTTGCTAAACTGGAATTCCAATATCCTTCCATCAGACTACAATAACCATGGTCTTATAAGCTGTCTAGAATTTCATAAAATGCATCTTTCATATATTAATGGTGTCAGTTCTCAGGAAATAGACACAGAAAGACTAGTCTGCCTGAAACGTGATGACATACAATTCTATTTTCTGAGGCTGCATTTCAGGTTGATGAAAATTCAAAAGCAAATTGGAATAGCATATGTTTTGCATAACAAAATTTTCATAGCCAAGAGAAAAACAAGGAACTGATTGGATTTTCTTGTCACCTACATTTACATAAACAACCAAACAGCATTATTTTCTATAGTACCAGAGAGGTAGACATATAAACCAAAAGCACTGGTTTCATTGGATCTGATTGCAATCATCCTAAACTCCTACCCCTCCCCCGTTACAGAAATTAGACTTGAGATTTGGCTGAATCCACATTGCATGCTGATATATAAAATTTAGCCTAACAAAATAATAGAAAAACAATACAAGTATATTTTCAAACACATTTATACAGTGCTTTTAAAAGCATATATTTTATCTTTTAATGTGTAATTTGGTACAATACTAAATCTAGATGAAAAATGAAAGAATTTTCTTATTCAATTAGTAGTATATAGGACCAAAAATAAAAAAAATATCAACCACCTATATGTGTGATGTCTATGAAAATAATATTTCTGATTATATAAAGTATTTTTTAGAGTTAATATGTTTGCCTAATTCTTAGTTTACCCTAACTATAAATGGTATTTAAACTGTGATTTTGATATTTGTCTCACAGCCTTATCATATGACATATAATATCCTATCACTGATTGAAACACCATGGGCAATTTAGAGAAACATAGAAAATAATGACCATTGTGACTTGGGGAAATAGTTCATTTGGTAAAGTGATTGAACCGCAAGCAGGAAGATCCTATTTTAGATAACTAGAAACTACAGAAACAAAAAAACCACATCAAAAATCACACAAGAACCACAATAAAAGCATGACGAACTACATATACACATTCCTAGCTCTCAGAAGCAGAGACAAAAGGTTCCTGAGGATTTGCTTGATGAAATTTCTAGAAAAACTGACAAAGTCTAGGTCCAGTAAAAATGTGATCTCCCGCTGGACTGACCCCTACAGAGGTGAGTGTACCTTCTGCTCCTGCCCTTCTCCTGCCCAAAATCCCATTCACCCTGGATCTCTCTGGACCTGAGCCTGCTTGGAGTGGACCTGCCCAACCAGGGAGAAGCTCCTTAAGTCTGGAAACACCTCACTCTTCTTTCCACCTACACCAGCCTAACCCACACCAAGGCTCGACCCCAACAAATGAGGAGACTACCAGGAGAGGAGAGGCAAGACCATCAAGAGCTGCAGACAATGAAGTCTTGGCCACACACAGCACTGTGTGACAAGAAGAGATAGAGAGACCCCACTTGCACCCACTGGAAGAAGAGATGTGAAGAAGACAGAATAAGGACACACTCAACATTAGAAAAACCAATATGACACCACCAGAATCTAGGGACTCCACACCAGCAAGATCTGAAAAGCCCAAAACAAAGGATGAAGAAGAGATGGACCTCAAATCTATCTTAGGAAGATGATAGAGACCCTTAAAGAGGAAACAAGAAAATCCCTTAAAGAAATAGAAGAATAAACAAGCAAAAAAAAAATCACATGAAATGGAGGAAAATACAAACCAAAAAATTCAAGAAGTAAAGAAGATACCAGAAAATGGAAAGATCTCCTATGCTCTTGGATAGGTAGAATCAACATAGTAAAAATGGCCAAAAGTAATCTATAGATTCAATGCGTTCCCCATCAAAATCCCAACACAGTTCTTCACGGACTTTGAAGAACAATACTCAACTTTATATGGAAAAACAAAAACCCAGGATAGCCAAAACAACTCTGTACAATGAAGAATTTTCTGGAGACATAACCATCCCTGATAAAGATCTCCTATGCTCTTGGATAGGTAGAATCAACATAGTAAAAATGGCCAAAAGTAATCTATAGATTCAATGCGTTCCCCATCAAAATCCCAACACAGTTCTTCACGGACTTTGAAGAACAATACTCAACTTTATATGGAAAAACAAAAACCCAGGATAGCCAAAACAACTCTGTACAATGAAGAATTTTCTGGAGACATAACCATCCCTGATTTCAAGCTCTATTATAGAGCCATAGTTCTGAAAACAACTTGGTATTGGCACAAAAATAGACAGATAGACAAATGGAATCAAATTGAAAACCCTGATACTAACCCAGACACCTATGAACACCTAATTTTTGACAAAATACTAAATCTATTCGGTGGAAAAAAGATAGCATCTTCAACAAATGGTGCTGGCATGCAGAAGATTGCAGATAGATCCATATCTGTGACCATTTACAAAACTTAAGTGCAAATGGATCAAAGATCTCAACATAAATCTAGCCACACTGGATCTTCTAGAAGAGAAAGTGGGAGATACCCTTGAATGAATTGGCACAGGAGACAGCTTCCTGAACTTTACACCAGTAGGACAGACATTGAGATCTTCAATTAATAAATGGGACCTCATAAAACTGAGACACTTTTGTAAGGCAAAGGACACAGTAAGACAAAATGACAGCCCACAGAATGGAAAACAATCTTCACCAACCCCATATCTGACAAAGGGCTGATTTCCAAAATATATAAATAACTCAAGAATCCAGCCATCAAAACACCGAATAATGAAATTAAAAAGTGCAATGAAGAACTAAATTGAGAATTCTCAACAGAGGAAGCTAAACTGGCTGAAAGACACTTGAGAAAGTGTTCAAAATCTTTGGGCATCAGAGAAATACAACTCAAAACAACTCTGTGATACCATCTTACACTGGCCAGAATGGCTAAAATTAAAAGCACCAATGACAATCTATGCTGGAGAGGATGTGGAGAAAAAGGAACATTCCTCCATTGCTGGTGGGAGTGCAAACTTGTAAGACCACTTTGGAAATCAGTATGGTTGTTGCTCAGAAAAATGGGAATCAGTCTACCCCAAGATCCAGGAATTCTTCTCTTGGGCATATACCCAAATAATGCACGTCATACAGCAAGGGCATATGTTCAACCATATTCATAGAAGCTTTGTTTGTAATAGGCAGAACCTGGAGGCAACCTAGATATCTCTCAACTGAAGAATGGATAGAGAAAATGTGGCACATTTATACAATGGAGTACTACTTATCAGAAAAAAACAATGGAATCTTGAAATTCTCAGGCAAATAGATGGAACTATTAGAAACCATCCTGAGTGAGGTAACGCAGTCACAAAAAGACAAACATGGTATGTACTCACTCATATATGAATTTTAGACATAGAGGAAAGGATTACGAACCTATAATCCTCTTCACCAAAGAAACTAGGAAACAAGAAGGACTCTAATGGAAAAGTGCATGGACCCCAGATAATGGGAAGTGGCAGTGACTCCTGAGCTAATTGGGAGCATGAGGGTTTGGGAGAGGGAGCTGCCAGAATAAGAGGAGGAGAAGAGGGGAGGGAGAGGAGTAAATGGAGGAACAGAAATGTTGAGTTTGGGGAATAAAAGAGAGAGCATATCAGAGGAAGCCATTATAGGTCCCAGGAGAGATCTGGCACTAGGGAGATTTCCAGAGTTCTACAAGGATGACAGGAACTGACAATCTAGGCAATGGTGGAGAGGATAACAGAAATGCCCTTCCACTATAATGAGACTGATGACTACTTTTTTTCCTCTCCTAAATCCCTCATCCAGTGGCTGATGGACGCAGAGGCAGACATC